CAGTGTTACTTACGACAACAAGTAATGTATCTGTCCCCACTCAACCCCTCCCCCCTGTTTTTGTAGCTGGGAATTTCTAATGGCGGAGAGTTTTGTGGTCCCAACATTTGGACGCGGCGTGCGCGGCAAAGCGGCCACCGCGCGCGGCGTACCTCCTGACGTGCAGCCACTGCGATGCACAGCCGATTGTATACTCTGGCAGGGCCTCCCATTGCTGTGAAGTAATTCGAGGTTTCCGGTTTCGGCTGTATGCCTAGCTAAGAGCCAGTCAGGCCCAGATCCACCACCGTTTGGTTTTCTGGTCGCTAGGCGGTTTTCCCAACTCCAAGCCCGGGGTCAGCCATCGCCCCGTGGAGATGAAGAGTAGGCCTAGTAAGTCTGCTCTCGGCCTACGGCCCAGGGGGTAGCAAGAACGATGTCAGGGTCCTTAAAGGCAGTGTCCGGGCAAAAACCCGAATTTGAGATTTTTTGCTTACCTGGGCCTATCCGCGATCCTGAATCCGAAAATCCACATGAGAGAGCGCGAAAACGGCGAAAAAGCGCTTTTTCGGAAGCCCTCCAAACTGAACGCGGACGAGTATCGGCTGGCCCCGTGCAGAGTCAGAGAAGCAGAGTGCATGGAGCGTCGTTGAGCGCTATTCCTCGTGCCTTTTTCTTCTTTTCGTGTTTTTCTGCCTTCCCTGATCCCTCGCGTGTCCGTTTGATTTTATACCATTTGATTTTACTTTATTTATTAGTTTTGTTTAGGTGTGAAACTCGAAAAATGATCGCTGGGGGCTCATCTCTGGTAATCAACTCTTCCTCACTATTTGGACGAATTGGCTCACAGAAGAACTTAAATGCTGCGAAATGGCCGTTATCATTGGGGCGCGTTTTCGACCTGGGACGCCTAGATTAAGCTTACGACGAGCTGCAGTAGGAAAAGAGCCCTTTGTTAGTGTTACTGCATACATATGGTAGTCCCCGTCCAGAGATGAGGAATTCTCCAACACGCTGTTTACGATTGTAATATCATATGCGTTGGAATAGTGATTTTGCTCAGTTAACGTAAAGCATGCTTTAGATCCAACGCGACTTCGAAAGGTGATGTCAAGGATGATCAAAGTTACGAAAAAAAAGTCTGACAGTGCAAAATTAACACGATATTTGTGAACAGTTTGTCATATAAGACCCTACCCTTTGCGAAACCGAAATCTGAGATTATAAATTTCTGTGTTGTATAAAGTGGAAGAGTGTCGCTCACTCCTTTGAAGTCATTCGTGTAAACACTTCTTGTCTAGTGATGGGTTTATTCACCACAATTTCCTGTCTGCATAGGATTGCTGAGTGGATCACCGAACATGCGTTTACTTTGCTTTTTCTATTATTCAAATCGAATAACGAACGGGACGGTCAGAAACAGACAGAACACGTCCTAGAATATGGCTAGATGGCATGAAGTAAAGCAACTGATCTACAACAACTGATAACGTAGCAAGTACATGTCCACAAACATAATGAGTAGTTCAACCTAAAAAAAAGAACAACTCAGAGCTCAATAAATCATGGCAGTGTGGCACGTTTGAAAAGGTGATGACGCAGACGTTCGATATAAAGTGAAGAGACTGAAGTAGAAAAAATTTAACATGTCGAAGTTCTAGGCAACAACATTTTCGTTATGATCACAATCCTTGAGTCGCATCTCCTAAAAGCATATCCACAGAAGCTAATACTCCTGAAAGAACAACTCATATGTCCTGTTCCTCATTGTACTGCATCTGTAGGATGCCTTCTCCACAGTTTCTGCATTGTCGGTCGCTTACGCAGTCCAAGTGAACTTATATCTGGCAGGAATCGCATTGTATCCGATTGTTTCCACTCGCATTTGTCTCTGCCGGCGTAGTTTCTTCACAGTATCCGCAAATGATCGTTACATCCTCATCAATATCCTCTAGTCCAGCAGCATTTGTTGTTACCATTAAAGGCAGTAGGTCGGCAGAATGAGACTCGTGGCAAAACAAGGTCACAGGGTAGGAGCCCCCATAATGGAACCTATGGGCCAAAGTCCGATCTTTCTCTGCCACTTCTAACCCCGAAATTTCAAAGCGAAAGCAGCGCTCATCTCCTGCCCTCTCCGAACCCGCCCACCCCATGGACGATTGACTTCCACGGTCAGAGCGCGCAGCCGCAATGCTATAAGCATGAGGTCCCGCAACGACTCTGCGTCTTCGCCATGACGGGCTTCGCGTTCACTCGTCCGCCTGCTGACCACGTATATCGCACTCTTTTTGCACAGCATCATTAGATTCGGTGGTTCCGATGGGGACGCTAGGGGCTCAATGCTACGATTTGGCTAAATCTTGTCTGCTAGGGTTATTCGACATTATCATGGATACCTAGGTACTTTCTGCTCAACCACGTCATCCTTGGTGGTGACCGTAACTTTACCGTATGCAATGAAGTTAGAAACTTGGACAAAACTCTCAACAATGACAAAGTTTTGAACAAAAATTCAGTAATATCGAAGTTTAATTACAACCGTTCGGCAGTGATAAGCCGAAATTCGGTGAATATATCAACTTGCTTTGTCTAGCAACGTTGTTTTGCAAAAAGCTAGGATGAAAAAAGTCTAGCATGTGAGAATGGTGGTCAGGTGATGTAAAATCGAAAGTGAGTCGAGAACACAAACTCCTGATTGAGCCTCTCATCGTACACCATCGTAAACACCCAATAACGTTTTCAAAGCATAATGTTTCGACCAGCATGGCCAACACTCCCATTAGACTGAGCAACAGCGCCGAGAATGGTCATGTCTTGCCACTTTCTCGACAAAAAGACAAATTAACATAGTAGTAGCCTCTGATGCTCTCGTCCAGCTTGTTTTTTCCATGTTTAGTCGATCCGACAGAGGAACCCCGCTTCACCGGACATTTTTCCACGAGAATTGCACTCTGGAAAGTGAACATTATGAAACAATTACAGAATGACAAATAACGAGCAAAACCGAGACAGTAGAGAACATCTAAAAGGGGAAAGGTCCACGATTCATGCAAGGAAGTGAACACATGTTACGAAGCTGGAGCACAACGCTAAGTTCTGAGATAAAAACGCGCTCCAATGATAACGGCCATTTCGCAGCATTTAAGTTCTTCTTTGGCTCACTCCCTCCACCCCCTTCCTCACATGCATTGTTCTCACTTTCACGACTCAGGAATAGGCTTGGTCAGAAAGCATCATTTTGGAAAAGTTTAGGTCATATTTTTGTTTTTGAAGGTATGGAAATGAACGAAATTATACCAGACCTGTTTTTGGAGGTTTGCGGAATGCTACCGACATCAAACAATTGAAGAAACACCATTTACAAGTATTTCTATAACATGTGACTTCTGTAAACAGTTGTGATTTGAAACTTTGTTTGTTAGTACATTGTATCTGTGCACTTAGCGGCTCATCATCCTGCCCTTGAACCCCTCAAGGCTAGCTGTCATTCTCCACTTACTGAACTATGTGAGCTTGCTGTTTTTCTTTCAGGTCCTCAAAATACAGATATCAGATTGCTCAACAGCCAATATTTCATCTCACTTCGCTGCTACAAACCAATTCATACATGAAGCTCAATTGAATGAAGCAAGGTATGCATTCAATCGCACAATTTTGTTTTTATCTGAAATAATCAATTTATAGCGGCTGCACTTGTGCATTGTCTGGCTGGCGTTTCCCGCAGTGCCACTGTTGGGAGGGCGTGCAGGAGTTCCTAGCACCTTTCCTCGCACCAACATCGCACCAGCATTCGCACCCAGGAGAGTTCTAGCACCTCTGCGTCTCAGAGGTCAAGACCCGCCCATTGCTCCTCCCGTTTACTGATCTCACTGTAAGGCGTGCAAGCAGCGAGAACATAGATTCAGGTATTAAGGTAATAAGAGAAAAAATGGTGAAAAAACGGAACACAGTTATCATTTCTTAAGTGAGGCGGCTTGAAACTTCTGCTACGTCATTCTTTCAAAAAAGAGCATATGAACATTGCTTTAAGAGGAGAAAAAGAGCAGAGAATTTTTTGAATGGAAAATCCGGTTATTCGAAATATTAGAGAATGTAGTCGATCAGATGTCCAGTAATTGTACATTACATCTGATTGAAGTAATTTAGCATCAGGAGTTTGAGAACCCAATTCTTTCTCAACAATAGAAGGACCCATTTTGAAGGAAGTATATCAAAGTTTTACAAGTATTTAACGCTTTATCCACCAGATAGGATATCTGAACACATACTTTTTTATCGTCTGCCATTATATATTCGAATGAGTTTTTCATTTTAAATTTACTCTAATGGTCAGCAAGGTTCATCATAAAGAAATTTTTAAGTGTAGTATTTCCTACAATTTATGTACTAGAATACCAAACTTCGTCGCATGATCAAAGAATTGACTAAGAGTTCCAATCCGCTGAATTTGCAAGATATGGTAATTCGCTATTCTTAAATAATTTTAGAACTTGCGTAAAATAAACCAACTTCTCTCTTATATACTGTGATTGGAAGACTCATAACTTCTGCATTAATTTATATTAATGCGATGTGTTCCATAAACTTTTTGAAGCGCCAATTTACCCGAAAACATGAGGAAAACATGACTCGAAAATCAGCCAGTCGTTTATGGATTTTAAACTTTTGAAACCTAGGAACTTTTTTTGTGTCTCGATTCCAGTTCTATCAACTTCATATAATACAATGAAACATGTCTTGCAGTGCGAGTATGCAATTTAGAATGAGGGCACTTAGAAAGAGGAGTGATGGGCGGAGCCACCCTTCGACCCTGAGAAAGTGATGTCCTCCAAGGGATTTCTGGAGGTGCAAAGTACCCCTGCGAGGAAAAGCGGCCAAGCTTTGGGAACTCCTGCCACGCCGCCCCACTGTTGTAGCCGCATATTTGATGACACTATGCGATATGTCATTTTTCAACGCTATAAGCTTCATATCACGAAAATGGCCGTTGTTAATCCGAATTTCGGTTTTCGCATGCAACTATGCAACTTTGCCGATCGAGTGAGTTCCGTTTTAGTTACATTTTCTAGTTTAATTTACTGATCTATATCACTTAGCCATTTCTGCGCGTATTTCTATACCTTTTTTTTTCTCAACACAGGTTTCTTGGTTGCGCTAGGGGAAAGAATTGAAACATGTTCAAGTGTAGATCAGCTCACTTTTGTTTTTTGGCGCTTGATAGTCTTTGCCTCATCATAAAATAATCACGCTAGTTTTGAGTGATTGCGCAACGATGTCCCGTGAGAAACATCATACCAAAGCAAGGTCAGGTCAGTCAAGGTCAGTCATTCAGGCAAGGTCATTAGACGCAGGTCATCTGTCGATCAGGTCATCTATCATCTTTTGTGAGATATTTCTCGCAGTCATGATTATCATGTTTTATGCCCAGTAATGGATGAGATATGTTTTGCAGGAGATATGAGTGAACGTCAGCGGCTCTGTGAACATTTTGGATCATACATATTTGACGCGCAGTGGGCATTAGATAGAGCAGTCACTCACTTCAAGGTTGGTCGTTCCAGCTGTGCGGTTGTTTGGTAAGTGTGTGCACGTCCTTGTATTATGTCATACTAAAAGTAAGTGCAGGTTGACCACGTATTTGTTGCTTCAACATATTGCTGGGCATATTGTTTTGTGTACTTGCAATGCCGCTTATGTATTTGCCGTCCAATAGTTATTCCGAGGATGCGTGTTAGTGGGGGGAGAAAGCTGATTTGCAGTTGTGGTCTGGCCGTACAGAAGCTTGATGATTCCACTCTATCTATGAACAATCTGATAGATATTTACGCATTCTGTTCATGGAAAAATGAATACATGTTCATGTGTCCACCTGGCTATGCTAACAATTGATTACAAGCACTCCATGCGGTCATCATTAGTGTCTTTTGATGAGTCAGTGCTCCGTTTATGTTTGTTTTTTAGATATACATGGAAGGTCAAGAAATGTCTTCCCCATCATTGGGTATGCACTGATTTACGTCGACTCGAAACTCATTCTTTGATGGAAGTTGCCATGACCTGAGAGATTTGGGATTAGGGGTTAGTAACGAAGTTGGAAGCGTTCGATCATATAACCATTCTGAATGGTTGCAGGACGCTAACGAGAAGAAGTAAAAAGGAACTTGTACGCATTTTGAATGGCAGATGAATGGAGTCGGTCTTGAACATAATCATCTGTTCGGCTTTGGCATTTTAGACGCCGCTGAAATGGTGAGTATCTTGGCAGTGTGGTTTTACTTATACTTCCTGTTATCATAACACTAATCTCGTATTGAAGGTAATGCTTGCGATGGTCTGGAAAACAGCACCACCCCGTTATCATTGCACCGGTGGTACCATCGATACGACTTACATCTCAGTAAGTTCATATGTAATCATATTAGTTGCATATTTAGCATATTTCTACTTATCTGATAAGATTACTGTTACTTCCAGTTTCAAAGTTTTTTATCTTCCTGGAAAGGGAAGTCAATGAAAGTGCTGCAGATTCGTACTGAGGATATACTACAGCACTACTAAACATGTTTATGGTGGAAATAAGCAAAATCTCAGGATATCGAAATGTTCGGTGAACCACTGCTCGAGAGCTAGGGATTATCGAAAAATTCACAATCTTATTCCATTTTTCCTGTCGAAAACATGCTCAGCAGTGCCGTAGTATATCCTCAGTACAATTTTGCGGCGTTTTCATGGACTTCCCAGAAAGATAAATGCCTTTGAAAATAAGAGGTGATCACCTGGGGATTTCCTGGGGATCACACAAAATGGCAAAAAACCAATCTTGTGGAAGTAACCTGGATCCATAATGCGCAGGTATAAGGGTTTGAGAACCTTTATTAGCAAGATGAAGAAAGAAGAAGAAATATACGTAGTAGCGAGATATGAGGTATCCCCTCTCAGATCCCTCTCCTCCCCAGCGGGGATGTACGTGCGTAAGGGCCAAAAATATCAAGACTACAATTCGTGCGCGATAAAATGAAACCTTGACAAGTTTACATAGGGGGGTGAAGAGTAGGATGGATAAAATCAGTCATAATTTTCGAATGAGCCGCGCATCTTCCGCACATGGTATAACGATTGTTGGGTACATAGAGACAGGCGATGGTAAATTCAGTACGACATTTTGGTGGGTATTCAGTCCTCGTCTGATCCTTCTCGAGCAGATGAAGGCACATCAGATTCTTGGCCAGACGTTGACGGTGGAGCAGGCGTAGGCTGACCAGATGTGGACGGTTGATCCGTGGATGACTCAGATCTACCAGATCTTAGGGACATGTACTCGACCAAGATCTCTTTTCTCCAGATGTGCTCCACGGGAGTCTTGTAGGGAATTTCTTTCGGAATGTCGCTGTATTTTCGGATAGTCGTGGTGGAACGCTCCACTATTCGTTCTCCACGCATCTCTGCTAGACGTAATTCATTCATGTGGAGAGTCGAAAGCATTACATAGGTCGGGTAAGTAGTTATCGGCCTGAAAGCAAATTTATTTCTGCTGTGGTAGTGTTGAGAAGGATTTTACTCACAGGTAGATTTCCTTAGGGCAGTAAACCCTATCTAATGCGTTTTTGCTCTCACATTGACTAGTTCCCCCAAAAGGGCTCATCCTAGCGAGGTCTTCTTGAAGCTCTTTCTGCAAAACTAGTGCTTTCAGCTTCTCATGGGCTTGACTGCCAAGCGCGATGATCGGCTTTTGCCCTTGTGGCCATTCTTGGTGGTCACATCTTGTTATTGGGCCAGTGTTGACGTCCTAAAGCTCTTCTACTCGTCTATTGTTGATTTCTAAAAGCTCAGTAGCATACCTGGTTCCATTCGTGGATGCCCGCCAGATGATAAAGGCACGTGTTGAATATGTGTCTTGTAAGTTGAGCATTTTGTGCTCGTGCCCCTTCTCTGACAGCATGATATAGGTGTGCCTTGAGGGGGCTTATCCAATCCTTCAGGTTTGTGCAGTCCCTCAGCCGGATAATCTGAAAATATTCACTTTGTAATGGCATTTTCTGAATAAAACTAAATGTTACCGGTCGAAGATGGTTGTGGATTCGTTTGTTTATATGCCAGGGATCCAAATACCACTGGATATCGGTGTTAAAATCCGAGTTAAACTGTCGTATTTCGTTTCCGTACATTGCGCTACGGTCGGTAGAGACGGAACGGAGTGTGATATTTCTTGAATGGAACCAGCGCAGTAGTCGACGAAATCCTTCTTTCTCCATTCTCCCGCTGACACCTCCTATAAAATGATTTTGAAGTAAATATAGGGAAGAGGGAATTGACTAAGTTACCAGTTTCGGATCTGTGCAGGACTTCGGTGTGCACGCACAGATTTGTCTTCAGGTCCACTGCCAATAGTTTGCAGAATGCAGCAGTATGTCCACGCGAGTTGTACGCTCCATCCACTGCTATGTCCCAAGCTCTCGGTTGACCTTCAGCCTGAATGATTAGCGACATGATTAATAATATATAATTCCGCACTTCTCTTACCTCGTAGATAGATTCGATTTCCTGGATGACCAACTCTTCACGTTTGTCGTATACATATTTGATCACTGGTCGCATTTCTTCAAACATGTCGTAAAAAGTGGTTTTTCCTGGCAAGGCCACATTGACTTCCTTTGCCCACTGGAGTTGCTTCTATAACATTTTTTTCTTGTTTTTACAGTTTTTTAGAAAGAAACCATTACACTTATGCGCGTTCCCGTCGTGACGTTTGCTACGCAACTTATCACATTGCCGATGAACACTTTTTCATGCAGCGTCGGACCGAGTCTGTCCTGTCCTTCCCATCTTCTTGTCTCCGTTGTTGAACCAGCGGTTGTATAGTAGATAACAGGAGCAGACGCGAATCCTTTGAGCCAAACACCTTCTGTGGAAGCGTTCTCGCTACATTCACAGCGACTTAGGTGGAAAAGCTCAAGAAGCTTTTTTCCTGGGACAAGGAAGTATTTGTTGAGATCTTTTTCCTCAGTTTTTTTTCGCGGCCTCGTGTCTTCGCTGCCAGATGTCGATGGTTGTTTCTCGGGCGAGATCTGATAGGAACTGCTCTGAACATTCAAAATGAGTACTGATAATGTAATGACTAAGTACTGACCGAAGTTTTTGCAGGTGATTCTGTTTCTTTTGATAGCTGTTTCTCCGGGGAGACGAAGAGGCTGCTCTGAATTGCAAATTTATCATTGCTATCACTGCGCTGATCACAAATGTTCCTCTCTACTCCCGAGTCTGACCGATAATTTCTCAGATCCAGGCTCTTCTTGTCCCCCTGGCGCTTGTGAAGCTACATCCATTGGTTGACCGAGAAGCTCAGAAGCGTGCACTTCCTCTCTCGCTTCCTAAATGTTCTAAGTAGGTTTGAGGAAACGCTCAGTTAGGGTGTACTTCTCTTTGCTGTCGTGGGACAACTCCAAAATTCCAGCCACCAGGACCGAAATACCTTCTGAGATATGTGCTTACGTAAGTGTACACATCTTTGGTGCTGACCACGGTACTTGCCTACAACGTTGTTTTGTTCCCGGCTGTTTTTTTATTATAGACTAACCGAAAATGTCCTTATCGTTTCATTCAATAAATCTGGAATGTCTGCGGGGATTTCTGTTTCCAAAAGATATGATTTGCCTTCTGTTGTTCTCGACAGACTTACACCCCTCGCCATCATTTCTGCCAGAAGGTACTGAGCCTGTACGCAAAGAATTTTTTTTTGGCATATATGGGATAAGTGACTTACAGCATTTACAGAGTGGGTAATGCAAATAAATTTTTGCGTCACTTGAAACGTCTCAAAGCAATGTTCCACTAATTCGTGGTCGATAGATGTATAGATTTGCAATGCTGAGAACAAAATTGCGTTATGGATGTTACTTCGAGACGAGCGTGATGCCATTTTTTCGATGACCATATTCCCGCATATCATACATAACCTTCTGTGCATGTTTGCAATTGCCTAAATTTCTTTCTACTCACGTGCGAATTCACGAAAAACGTATTGACATTGGAGGTAGTCATCACGCGAACCAGAGCACAATTGTCCGAACTTTTACATTGAATTCAAATTCGATTCTGTGATGATGTGATAAGCATTTTTAGGCATCAGAAATGAGCAGGGATGCGGCTTCTATCAAGGAGTGGTCCACGCCGTCGTCACATTCAAGAGCTTTTGTATCAGCTTCCAAGAGTGAAAAGAATATCTTGAGTTACTATAAAAGCAATAAAAACTTCATACTAAACTTTCTCGAACACCTTGTACTCTCATCTTTGATAAAAACTTCGCCAAGACAATGTTGAGCTCAGAAATGGCTTTGCCGTACAGCTTGAGTGACTTAATTGTAATGAACATACAGAGTGAATTCTTTGAATGTAGCTCGTGCCAAAACTGTGATTTTTGACAGGTTTAGTACTGTATACATTAGAGTAAACTGAGCGCAAGCAAGGCCCATCTTTCGCCTACCCTTTTTCGTTTGCGACATGTAAAAAATTTCAAAAATTTAGAAAGAAGCATGTTTTGGCATGAGCAAGACGAGTCAAAAAAGTGGCGCTTTTTCTCCCTTGCTCACGAGTTTTTTGGGCAGCGACTATATAGGTTCGCAACAGACCGGAAACACTCTTCGCATCTTTGGCTTTCCACTGACGACACGTAAATATGTCGATCATATCGCATGTGAGAGCACTGCTGTGTCAAAATGGACGATTCTGGAGGGAAAATTGTAGGAGGTTCTGACTTCTAGCTTCTCCCTTGGTCGCCACTTTTATATAGCACGGTGCCGTTGTCGTAGCCAAAAAGTTGCTCAGTCTAATGGATGTAAGACCATCCAAAAATAGTAAGTCCGAAGGAAGTTATAACGATTTCAGTCAGAAATCTCGAAATCGGACAGAACTTTTGGAACAACCTACTATACCTGTCGCAACCCACAGGGTAATGGTTTCAGGAGAAAAGCATTTACAACCAGCTTGTTCAATGACCTACTAGATCAAACGCTACCCTAATTAGAGATTTTGGACTTGCAGCTTCTTATCGTAGATTTGGAAAAACGTCACCATGCGAAAAGAGTGCGAATAAAATGTTGTTGATGATGGTGATCCATGTTCTTACGTTTTTCAATCGTGCTTTGTCACCTACATTTTCAAAGTTTACCATGCAAACAAAATCCTTCTATGCGCTTTATTTCAGATCAGTTTTATGCAAAACAAACTTTTGCAACACAAATTTCAAAACAACGTAGCATGTACAGTGAAAAGAAACAGAAGATCAAGAAAAAACAGGAAGCACAAGAAGACCGCCACTCTGGCTTGTTTCTGCGTGTCAATCCGTCCTCCTTATTTCGACATCTCCTTCTTCAGCTGAGTCATCACTTCCA